AATAATAATAATAATAATAATAATAATAATAATAATAATAATACCCTGATAGAGGTAAACTCTGTCTTTCCTTCTGCCTGTTGGGTCATAAAAATGGAAACAAACAAGCTCCAGGTTCCTTCTACACTGCCATATAACCCAGAATATCAAGGCCGATAATCCACAATATCTGCTTTGAATTGCATTATCAAGAGTCCACACTGCCATATAAACTCAAGAAAGGAAAACCAAATGTTGGAGGACAGGAAAAGAGATTTAAAGATGGGCTCAAAGCCAACCTTAAAAACTCTGGCATAGACACCGAGAACTGGGAAGCCCTGGCCCTTGAGCTCTCCAGCTGGAGGTCAGCTGTGACCAGCAGTGTTGTAGAATTTGAAGAAGCAACGGATGGAGGGCAAAAGAGAGAAACATGCCAAGAGGAAGGTGCGTCAAGCCAACCCAGACCGGGACCGCCTTCCACCTGGAAACCAATGCCCTCACTATGGGAGAAGATGCAGATCAAGAATAGGGCACCATAGTCATCTATGGACCCACCACCAGAACACTGACCTTGGAGGACCATCATCCTTGGACTATGAGGGATCGCCTAAGTAAGTATAATCCAGTTAATTGAGGATTTTATACAGCTCTGTTGTAGCCCCCTTCTAAACTGCCATATAAAAACCAGATTATCTTCTTTGCACTGGATTATATGCCAGCATAGACTCATATAATCCAGTGTAAAGTAGATAATTTGGATTATCTTCTTTGATATGCGTAGAAGGAACCTGGAGCTTGTTTGTTTCCATGTTTTATGACCCAACAGACAGAAGGAAATAATAATAATAATAATAATAATAATAATAATAATAATAATACAAATATAGCATGACCCTAGTATGCATGGGACAAATACCTGCAGTTTCCTTTACACTTCTAAAAATATGGTATATCTGTGCATTTTCAAGGTCCTCCAGCATAACTGCGTGGTATTCTTGTGCTGAAAGTCCTTCATTTCAAGAGGGTCTGCTATTATCTACAATTCTGCATGTCCATGCTAACACTGGAGCTACACTGCCCTATATCTCAGGATCTGATCCCAGATTATCTGCTTTGAATTGGATTATAGGAGTCTATATTGCCAGATAATCTGGGATAAGAAGATAATCTGAGATCAGATCCTGGGATATAGAGCAGTGCAGATCCAGCCTAAGGCCCCTTCTACACTGCCATATAAAATACAGATTATCTGTTTTGAACTGGATTATATGGCTGTGTAGACTCATATAATCCCATTCAAAGCAGATAATGTGGATTATCTGCTTTGATAATCTGGATTATATGGCAGTGTTGAAGGGGCTTAAATCCTTCAAAACAATTATAGTGTCAACTTCAGGCACAAGCTGAGAACCCTTCCACACAGCCATATAACCTAGAATATCAAGGCAGATAATCCATAATATCTGCTTTGATCTGGATTATCTGAGTCCACACTGCCATATTATCCAGTTCAATGTGTATTTCATACAGCTGTTTGGAAGGGGCCTGAGTCACCATCTCAGGTATGTGTGTGTGTGTGTGTATAAACATTTCATGTCAGGAGCAACTCGAGAAACTACAAGTCGCTTCTGGTATGAGAGAATTGGTTGTCTGCAAGGACGTTGCCCAGGGGATGTTTGAGGTTTTACCATCCTTGTCCTTTTCAGCTTTAAAAGGTGCAGAGCTTAAAAGGTAGTGATGCTGTGAGTTTTCCGGGCTGTATGGCCATGTTCCAGAAGCATTCTCTCCTGACGTTTTGCCCACATCTATGGCAGGCATACTCAGAGGTTGTGAGGTTATGTGTAGTGTGCTTATGTGTATATTGCAGAAGCGCCTTTACTTTGATAGTGAAAAGCCCGTCTGTTATCACATGGGCACATCCCCTCTCCCTGCCCCTTGTAGGACAAAGTTGACATTATTGATCAAGCAAAGCATGCCCTTTGGCCTGGTTTCAAAATCTTCCATTCTGTTGCTTTGACTTCTGCTGAATCACATTTCACAATGAAATCCAAATCCAGTCGGCCCTTCACCTGAGAATGTGTCTGCATGAGTAATGTAAACTGCGTTATAAAACAGCATCTCAAAAAAAAAAAAAAACCTTTCTGACCAGTGGATTTTCTTTGGATCCTATGTACTTGTGGTTGCGTACCTTCAAATCAACTCCAACTTGTGACAACTATAAGGTTGACCTTAACATGGGATTTTCTTGAACAAGGTTGGCTTGGGAGCCCCTTCCACACATCTGTATAAAATCCACATCGAACTGAGTTATATGGCAGTGTGGACTCAGATAATCCAGTTCAAATCAGAAACTGTGGATTATCTGCCTTGATATTCTGTGTGGAAGAGGTTGAGAGAGAGTGACTTGCCAAACAACCTCCAGTTTGCTAGGAAAACTGAATGACTGTATTGCAAAACAAAACAAAATTAAACAGGTTGTTGTAGGTTTTTCAGGCTGTATTTATTTATTATTTACTGTATTTGTATACTGCCTTTCTCAGCCTGTCGGCGACTCACGGCGGTTTCCAACAAAACAGTATATACAGTATCATAAAACAATTTAAAAACATTACAATTACATGAACCACAGCAGCAATAAAAACAACATCATTGGCGTCTCCTTATTGTCAAGCATTGYCCAGTTCCATCGTCARTTTCCTATATCATTTATCCATATCCGTTACTCTGTGTTTGTAAACGCTTGCTCAAACAGCCATGTTTTGACTTGCTTCCGAAATGTTAGAAGGAAGGGAGCAAATCTAATCTCTCTAGGGAGGGTGTTCCATAGCYGGGGGGCCACCGCTGATAAAGCCCTGTCTCTTGTCCCCACCAAACGTACCTGAGACRAAGGCGGGACCGAGAGCAAAGCCTYTCCGGATGATCTCAAGGTTCTAGATCAGTGGTTCTCAACCTAGGGTCCCCAGATGTTTTTGGCCTACAACTCCCAGAAATCCCTGCCAGTTTACCAGCTGTTAGGATTTCTGGGAATTGAAGGCCAAAAACATCTGGGGACCCCAGGTTGAGAACCACTGTTCTAGATGGTTCATAAGGGGATGACCATGTTCTAGAAGCATTCTCTCCTGACATTTCGCCTGCATCTATGGCAGGCATCCTCACAACCTTTGAGGATGCCTGCCATAGATGCAGGTGAAACATCCGGAGAGAATGGCCTGTTATGTGTCTTGTGTCCAAATTTGGTATCAATTCATCCAATGGTTTTTGCGTTATGTTCATTCCACACATGAACATTACAGTTTTATTTATATGGATTTGCCATATTTATATACTGCCTTTCTCAGCACAAAGATGACTCAAGGCGGTTTTCCCATGTTTTTATGAAGGTAAAAGGTAAAGGTAAAGGTAGTCCCCTGACATTAAGTCCAGTCATGTCTGACTCTGGGGTGTGGTGCTCATCTCCATTTCTAAACCGAAGAGCCAGCATTTTCCATAGACACCTCCAAGGTCATGTGGCCAGCATGACTGCATGGAGCGCCGTTACCTTCCCGCCGGAGCGGTACCTATTGATCTACTCACATTTGCATGTTTTCGAACTGCTAGGTTGGCAGAAGCTAGGGCTGACAGCGGAAGCTCACGCCACTCCTGGAATTTAATCTGTGACCTTTCGGTCAACAAGCTCAGCAGCTCAGCGCTTTAACCACGCCACCGGGGTCTCCATGATACAGTTAGGAAATGACATGTCTAGCCCAGGGAAAAATTGTGTTACTTTGGGCCCTTCCACACTGCTTCTATATATGAGAATCTGATCCCAGATTATCTACTTATCCCAGGTTTTCTGGCAGTGGAGACTCAAATAATGTGAGATCCGATCCTGGGATATGGGGGCAGTGTGGAAGGGGCCAGACTGTTTTCTGCAATGCTTCAAAAAGGTTGCCACCTGAGTCCTTGAGAAGGGGCTCCTCTCTGGTTTGTCCTCTTGGCGTTTCCAGGTGTGGTTTGACCATGGCGAGGAGGGGGCGCCAGGGGGCGCTGTTGGGCAAGCCTGGTATAAATAAAGGCGAAGGGGCGGGAGGAGGAAAGAGGAAGGAGGCGGAGGCTGGCGCATGAGAGCGGCTGTGCAGCGACTCATGAAGGTCTTCGTGACGCGGCGGATCCCCCCGGAGGGGCTGGCGGCCCTCCACAAGGCGGGAGAGTAAGGCTTCCTCTGGGGAGGGGGCAGGAGAGCCTCGGCCACCTTGGACTTCCCTTTGGGGAGCAAAGGGAGGGAGCCAAGGCGCCCCCTTTTCGCTGGTGGGTGGGCTCTGGTCTCCAGCCTGCAATGCTCCTCGGGTAGAGAGTGAAGTTGGGGGGCATCTCATGCAACTTGGCCCCACTTGAACAGCCCTGGCTCAAGGCTGTGGGGTCCAGAGAATGGCAGTTTGGGGAGGCAGCAACACTTTTGGACAGAGAAGCCTCAGGATCCTATAAACTCCCAAGGTCCCAGAGCCATGGCAGTTTAAAGTCTCAAACTGCGTTAAATCGACAGTGTAGACGAACCCCCATAAGGCCCTTTAAGGAAAGCCATTGGGGATTGACTGATTGGGGCCATATGCCATGATTTCCCCTTCAACACTGCCATATACTAGATTATCTGGCAGTGTAGACTCGTATAGTCCAATTCAAAGCAGATAATCTGCTTTGATCATGTGGATTATATGGCAGTGTAGAAGGGGCCGAAGCCTGCACTGTCTGCAAGAAACATATGCTAGGAATGGAGGTTACACTATTGCTTTTCCACACAGCCATATAACCCTGAATATGAAGTTGGATCATCCACAATATCTGCTTTGAACTGGGTTATCTGAATCATAGAATCATAGAGTTGGAAGAGACCTCATGGGCCATCCAGCAGGAATATTGCATTCAAAGCACCGCTGACAGATGGCCATCTAGCCTCTGTTTAAAAGCTTCCTTCACCTTCCCCCCTATTCTCTTTTTTTATTTTATATATACGCACTGTTACAAAATGACAATAATTTTAAAAAAAAAAAAAGCTTCCAAAGAAGGAGCCTCCACCACACTCCGGGGCAGAGAGTTCCACTGCTGAACGGCTCTCAGAGTCAGGAAGTTCTTCCTCATGTTCAGATGGAATCTCCTTTCTTGTAGTTTGAGTCCGCACTGCCATTTAATCCAGTTCATGTGGATTTTATACAACTGTTTGGGAGGGGTCTAAGGATCCTTCAACTCTACCATATAATTGAGATTATCAAAGTAGGTGATCCACATTATCTGCTTTGAACTGGATTATATGAGAGTGCACTGCCATTTAATCCAGTTCCATGTGGATTTTATATATTCTGCGTGGAAGGGGCCTAAGCTTCTACACTGCCATATAATCCAGATTATCAAAGCAGATAATCCACATTATCTGCTTTGAACCGGATTATATGAGTCTATACTGCTATATAATCCAGATTATCAAAGCAGATAACCCACAATATCTTCTTTGAACTGGAGTATCAGTCTACACTGTCATATAATCCAGATTATCATCAGATAATTCACATTATCTGCTTTGAACTGGGTTATCTGAGTCCACACTGCCATTTAATCCAGTTCAATGTGGATTTTATACAGCTTTTATACAGATGCATGAAAGGGGCCTAATGTAGGATTTTCTGCCTTGATATTCTGGGATATAGGGCTTTGCGAAAGGGCCCTTAGGCTATTGTACCTTCACTGTACTTATTAGAAAAAGTGATAGTATTGAGCAAAGTGGAAAGCCAGTAGGACATGAGGAAGGCCCTTTCTGATGGATTGATTCAAGCCAGGGAGCCTTGGCTTTGAACTTCCAAGGCCTGAGCCAGATTGATGGTTTTTTCGCATTCATAGAGTCACCATTAGCCAAAGTTGACTTGACAGTCAGTCACAACAACTGTTGCCACCTGCATATAGTTCATGGACTGTAAGCAGAATGTATGCATTGCTTGTTGACAGACTCCAGGTAGGGCAATGGAAAGTCCACTCTCAAAACCCTACAAGGCTGCAGCCAGTTGGCACAACAGAACATAAGGTTTAGATAGAATTGGAGTTTTCAATTTCTCTGAGCTTGTGGAGCTAGCTGGTAATGCTTAAAGCTTTGAAGGATTTTGTTAAGATGTGTGAAGGTCCAACTGCTGGACAAATCACAAAGCTTCATGAGCATGAGCTTCCCACATCCAAGTTTCTAGATCTCTTTGGATGGTGGTCAGGGATTATAAGAGTTGTGTTTGAAAATATATGGCACACTCTAGCATGGCTACTCTTTAGACCTCATTCATATAGTTAGCACTGGAGCTGGATAAATTGTTTGCAGGTTATGTATTGATGAAGGCTTTCATGGCTGGAATCACCAGTGTGTTGTATGGTTTTCAGACTGTATGGCCGTGTTTTAGCAGCATTTTTCCTGATGTTTTGCCTGTATCTGTGGCTGGCGTGTTTCCAGGCTGTATTAATTCAGCATCTAAGCACAGTTTTGCCTTCAAGAGAAGTAAGAAGAAAGGGTGCATCATGAAGAGCTGTCTTTATCCAGCTCCTGCTGTTGGTCCAACCAAGGGGGACCCTGTTCCGCCTCTAACTGGAGCTGGGGCCCATTACTTCCCTTGGAGGTGTGTATGTGCGCAGAGGTGTCCTAATGTGAGAGTCCTGCCTGCGCTCAGAAGCCATCCTGGTCCATGGCTTGGAACTTCCCTTGCACAATAATTAATGTTTGTTTCCTTGTGTTCTCTTAGGCCCCTTCCATACAGCTGAATAAAATCCCACATTATCTGCTTTGAACTGGAATATATGGCAGTATGGACTCAGATCACCAGTTCAAAGCAGATATTGCGGGGTTTTCTGCCTTGATATCTGGGTGATATGGCTGTGTGGAAGGGCCCTTAGAAATGTCACACAGACTAATCAGAGGATCATCAAGGCAGGACTCTTATTGTTTTGTGTTTGCTCGGGAATTAACAATGCTCTGTTTGTAAGGAACCACTAGCTTGTTGTAGTGGTTAATCATTAGCACAGATCATAAAATACACCTTTGATCAGGCCATTAGTTGTGACTGCTTCTAACATCTTTGCCAATGGCTCACCCAGAAGATTTGGGGAAATGGGTGACTGTTCTGCCTGCTCTCCTGCCTGGTCCATAGCTCACGATGATGCAGAACTGCGCCCCAAATCCTCCTTGCGTTCCACTGAACCCAGAAAATTGGGGATCCCCCTATGCGATGCTGGGCTGTGAAGCAGACACTCGAAAGAAACATGTCTACACTGTTTTCAGTTTTCTCCATATCTCAGCACTCTATTTTGCTTAGGACTATTCAATATTATTTATTTATTATATTGTATTACTGAACCGTGGTGGCGCAATGGGTTAAACCCTTGTGCCAGCTGAACTGCTGACCTGAAGACCCGAGGGTCAGACATTTGAATCCGCGAGGTTTGCTCCCGTCTGTCAGCTCCAACTTCTCATGCGGGGACGTGAGAGAAGCCTCCCACAGGATGGTAACACATTCGGGCATCCCCTGGACAGATGGCAAATTCTCTCACACCAGAGGGAACTTGCAGTATATTCTCAAATTGCTTCTGACACGATAAAATATTGTATCATTTATATCATTTGTATGTTACCTTTCTCCCAGAGGCAGTCCCTAGAGAGAGTCAATGAACAAACATTCATAATAAAAGTTTTAAAACAACATAAAATTTAGTATTCAGTGCAGTGAGCTTTCTCTGTTTGCTGCGGTTAGGGGTGTGAAAGTAGAAAAAATACAAATGATAAAAAACCACCATATTTTTATTTGAGAGGACACCTTTCTAGGCATCTCTAAGTCCTTCAGCATGACTCCATATGGGAAGGTTGACCATAAATTCATGTTGGAGGACCTACAAATGCCTTCAAAGTGTTTTTTTTTTCTATAGAAATCACTAGGTCCTCCAGCATGGCTTTAGTTAAAAAGAGAGATACAGGCTCCCACCTCAGTGAGAACAGTACTGTAAATGTATGTGCTTTTTATTGTTCCCTGCTTCATTGAGAAAGAAAAACCCAGCTGATTATAATATAATATAATATAGTTTTTATATTCTACCCTAGGGGACTCATGGAGGATTACAGTACACATATACAACAAACATTCAATGGCGTTATACAATTAACAAAGACAGTACAGAAATAGAGCTAAAGGCTTCCCATCTTTTCCCATCTCCAGCATCTGGAGGGTGTGCTCGACTCCGACTGTCGATAATAATAATGATGATGATGATGATGATGATGATTCACTGGAACTTATGTCACAAGTACCACCTGCCAGCTGTAAAGAATTGGTGGGATCATATACCCGCAAAGGTCATGGAAAATGAACACGCAAAAATACATTGGATTTTCGAATCCAGACTGACAAAGTTTTGGAACACAATACACCAGACATCATAATTGTGGAAAAGAAAAAAGTCTGGATTATTGATGTCGCCATACCAGGTGACAGTCGTATTGAGGAAAAACAACAGGAAAAACTCAGCCGCTATCAAGACCTCAAAATCGAACTGCAAAGGCTCTGGCATAAACCAGTACAGGTGGTCCCAGTGGTCATTGGCACACTGGGTGCCTTGCCAAAAGATCTCCGCCGGCATTTGAAAAGAATAAACATTGACAAAATCACGATCTGTCAACTGCAAAAGGCCACCTTACTTGGATCTGTGCGCATCATTCGAAAATACATCACACAGTCCTAGACGCTTGGGAAGTGTTCGACTTGTGATTTTGTGATACGAAATCCAGCATAGAGATCTTGTTTGCTGTGACATACTGTGCTTTGTGTCAATAATAATAATAAAAACTTTATTTATACCCCGCCACCATCTCCCCAAGGGGACTCGGGGCAGCTTACATGAGGCCACGTCCATCAATACAATATACACAATATAACACAAAAACACAACAGAAAATAATAATTAAAAAAATAACCTAAAATACAAAACCAATGTATTTTTATTCCATCTTCCATGCCAAGAGCTTTGTTGTCTTTAGACACTCTCCTGATCAAATTGCTGGCATGTCTGCATAGGCACCTTTTATTAACTCGCCACCTATTTATCTACTCACATTGCTGTTTTTGAAGTACTAGATGAGCAGAAGCTAGCGTGACAATTGGGAGCTCACCCCAACCCAGGTTTGGACTGTTGGCATTTCAATTGGCAAGATTTTCTGCAGCTTGCAGTTTAACCTCTGTGCTAAAGCCCAGCCAAGCAGACTGGCTAATACCAATGATGGATTGGGCATTCTGAGGCCTGTACTTCGGTAGTAGCGTTTGTAACCTCTGCTTCTTTTTGCCTTTCATCTCTCACCTACAGCTGCAGTGTCCAACTGTGGGATTCAGATGAGCCAATCCCCCAGTCTGAGTTGTTGAAAGGAGTAGCCGGCAAGGATGGTCTCTTCTGTCTCTTGTCAGATCGGATAGACAAGGAGGTCCTGGATGCAGCAGGTGAGCATGCAGAAATGGGGAAGAAACGTTTGGATGGAGAAGGTGGAGTGTTACAAAAACATCAATATGTCTGGTGTCCGCTGATCCATATTACATGGACAAATGAAATTTTATTCTGTTCCCAGATATACTTCTCTGAATACGCCATACTGCTGAACCTGCATGAGGCAGTTGCCTGGCCCCTTGTTTATTAAACAGAGATGGGGGGTTCCTTATTTATCTAATGGGGCTTATAGCTTCATTCTTCTTATCTCGTACCTTCTGTATCTGCTCCTTTGGATTATCTGGCTAGACAGATAGTTTGGAGAAAATATTCCACCAACCAGAATGTTCTCTTTAATAGTTTGCTTTTATCTATATAAATAAAAATGTCATGTTTGTTTGTGGGATTAACATAACTCAAAAACCACTGGACAAATTGACACCAAATTTGGACACAATACACCTCTCAGGTCAACAAGTGACCTTCACTCATCAAAACACTGAAAAACACAGCAGAAGGGACTTAAAAAGCCAAAACTTTAAAAAATACATTACAACGCATGCACAAAACCACAAACGCACACACACATATATATACACAAAAACACATATAAACAAATATATACACACACAAAGCACGTATACACAGGCTGGGCTACACTGAAAAGTCTTTAGACTTCAATTTTTTCGCGTAAACTAATCTTGCTGCAGTGGCCATATGAAAAAATAGAATGTCCTTGTTTTTGTCTATTTCGAAGTATAGTATCCCTAGAAGATAAAACTCTGGTTTCAATACTACTAATAATATGATATTATAATTATATATTTTATATTACATGTAATATTACAAATAATATTACAATATAATGGTATAGTACAATATAGTAGTATATAATGCTGATATTGTACTATGCTAATAATATAATATATTGTATTTATATATATCTTGTAAGCCGCTCTGAGTCCCCTTCTGGGTGAGAAGGGTGGCATATAAATATAAATAAATAAATTGACTGTATTGTGACATGAATCCTCTTTTTTAAGCTTTCTCACATGTCCACCATAGGTGGAAAAAGGTTCCTGTATTTGTTTGGCATTTAGGAATTTGAGGAGCCCCCGGTGGCGCAGTGGGTTAAACCCCTGTGCCGGCAGGACTGAAAACCGACAGGTCACAGGTTCAAATCCGGAGAGAGGCGGATGAGCTCCCTCTATCAGCTCCAGCTCCTCATGCGAGGACATGAGAGAAGCATCCCACAAGGATGATAAAACATCAAATCATCCGGGTGTCCCCTGGGCAACGTCCTTAAAGACTGCCAATTCTCTCACACCAGAAGCAACTTGCAGTTTCTCAGGTCGCTCCTGACACAACAAAAAAAAATTAGGAATTGTAGGAGTGGACGTACTAAACACCAGGAGTCACCCTAGTGGATCAAGCATATTTCTAGAGAGCAATTTGTTTGGTTTTCCAGGGCAGTGTAGGGTAACTTCAGGCAGAAGCATATTGCAGAATCACTTGTAGAACCCAGAAAAATTCCATGTCTTGTCAGATGTGGGTAGATTAAACTAGGGGGACCAGTCTCACTGGTATGAGAATCATACTGTACTTCAAGTCACCTCCAACCTCCTCTTGGGAGAGTGGGTTGAGCTCCCTCTGTCAGCTCCAGCTCCCCATGTGGGGACATGAGAGAAGCCTCCCACAAGGATGGAAGAACATAAAACATCTAGGCATCCCCTGGGCAATGTCCTTGCAGATGGCCAGTTCTCTCACACTGGAAGCAACTTGCAGATTCTCAAGTCGCTCCTGACACACACAAAAAGCCATTGCTGGTGAATACTGCAAAATATTCCAGCCCTTTCACTGCTGGGGAGCCAGTATCCTTTGCCTTTTGTAGAGGGGCAAGAAATATTTGTTTTTCCTTAATGACACATTTTGACTATGTGATCTTTCCTCTTAAGGGCCATCCCTGAAAGTAATCAGCACATTGTCTGTAGGATATGACCATCTTGCTATTCCTGAAATTAAAAAACGGTAAGACTCAGACCATCCTGGAGCTTGCATATATTTAAACTTGCTACTTCTTTTGCACCTACTGCCTTAGGTGCAAAAACAGATACTGCAATTAAGATGCATACATTATATATAAGATGTTTGTGGTCCTAACTACTATATTGAGTTCCCTACATCTATGAAGCCCGATTCTCCCTTGAAACAAAATTCTTCCCTTGTGCCGACAGTGAAAATCATAATTTTTTGAAATTGCAGTTAGAAATCTGACTACTTCTGATTTCACTGGGTACTTTGGCTTGAAGTTGATCATGGAGGGTAGAAAACAGCCCCAAACTGACCAAAATTGCATCATAAATCAACATTGTATTTTTGAAACTGACTCCTTGAGACTCTTTTGAGTCATGGCTGCTTTGGAGGCTGTCTTTTGGCTTCTAAGAAAGTAATGGAAACAATTTCGCTGGTTTTCCACCAAGGAAGTTACTTCTGGATAATACTGATTGTTTTGCATTTGTCTGTTCCTTTTTGGCTGCAGGAATGATGTGCCAATCGACAGTTATAAAAACTTTATTATCATTGGTGTCATGTCTAAAGAACACTTCATAGTTTGTGATTGGCTGAACATGATTTCAATATCAATGCTTGCAAACTATAATTTCTGATTATCACAGTATGCCTTCCAATTATTTCCAACTTATGGCAACTCTAAGGCAACCCTCTTGCGGGGCTTATTTGGCAAGATTTGTCCAAAGGAGGTTTGCCTTTGTCTGAGACTGATAATATGATTTGCCCAAGGTCATCCAATGAGTTTCCATGGGCTGAGTCTGATTTTAACTTTGACCTCCCTGAGTTCTAGCCCAGCACTCAAACCACTACACCACCCTCACAATCTTACTTTACTTAGGCAATCTCCCGTAGCTCGGGGAAGATTGTCTTCCAGATGTGTGGTGGAGGCTCCTTCTTTGGAAACTTTTGAACAGAGGCTGGATGGCCGTCTGTCGAGGGTGCTTTGAATGCAGTATTCCTGCTTCTTGGCAGGGAGTTGGACTGGATGGCCCATGAGGTCTCTTCCAACTATGATTCTATGATTCTATGTGGTATCTTGACGGTGGGTCCGTAGGTAGATGTGGAGCCCTATTCTTGATCCGCATCTTCTCCTGCAGTGAGGTTTCCAGACAGAAGACCAAACCGGTCAAGTCAAACCAGTCAGGGTTGGCTACATGTGCCATCCTCTTGGCACATTTCTCCCTTTTGCCCTCCATTTGTGCCTCTTCGAATTCTGCAGCACTGCTGGTCACAGCTGACCTCCAGTTCGAGTGCTCAAGGGCCAGGGTGCCCCAGTTCTTGAGGTTGGCTTTAAACCCTACTTTAAATATCTTTTTCTGTCCACCAACATTCTGTTTTCCGTTCTTGAGTAGCACTAGCTCCTGATATTTATCTTATTTAATTTTGTGCTGGTTCCTTAATTCACTGAGTGAAAGAGTTTCGCCCCTCCTCCATCTCCTCAATTGTGTAAAAGAAAATCACGCTTTTTGGTATTCTGTGGCTGGATACATAGGCTTTATTGATATGACCATCACACTTTTTGTGTGTGAAAAATCCTGTCCATCTAGCTGACCTACTTTGTGGTGGAAGTGCTCAGGCTGCCCTGCCTCTGAAATACTGCCATCAGAGAAATGGGAAGCAACAATCCCGCTAGGAAATGGGTACCTCTTGTGGATCCAAACACAGAAGCGACTGACGGCCTCCTTTGTATTCCAGTGGGATCCGTGTGGGCTACACGCCAGACATCCTGACTGATGCCACTGCTGAGCTCACTGTGGCTTTGCTCCTAGCAACGTCTCGCAGGCTGCCAGAATCCGTGGTGGAAGTGAAGAAGTGAGTTTCTTCAGCTTGGTTTGGGGGGAGTACATGGTTGTCTGGAGCACATCACTTTCTATTTTGGAGGATGGGGGTGTTGATGGGGGTTGTATGGTCACTGTCATGCCCCCACAGAGAGCTCCACTATTTTCCCCAATTTAAGCCTCTTTTAGTTAGAAGGGCTCTGTCTTTGGTATATAGTTGTTGTGGAGGGAACTACAGTTAGCCCTTTCCTTTAAGATCTCTCCTTTCCCTTTAAACAGCTAGGTCTCACAGTCTCTTTGGAGTCGGCCATTTGTCCAGGAGGTGTCAGAGAAGTAAGGACAAAAAAAAATAGATGTCAAAGGTTGATAGTTAGAAGTTGATAGATGTTAAGCAATTGAACGGTTAGTTTTACAAGCAAGAGGCCTCGCCACAGATACAGAAAATAAGGAAGAGGTCCGCAGTAGCACGGCGGTTAAAGCCACTAGTTGCAGGAAAGGCTGCTGACCAGAGGGTCAACAGTTCAAAGCCACGAGTCGGGGTGAGCTCCCGACTGTCAGTCCTAGCTCCTGCCAACCTAGCAGTTTGAAAGCATGCAATGTGAGTAGATCAATAGGTACCATCTCGGTGGGAAGGTAAAATCTTATTAAATGTTTTGTTGCTGTGAGTTTTCCAGGCTGTATGGCCATGTCCCAGAAGCATTCTCTCCTGACGTTTCATCCACATCTTTGGCAGGCATCCTCAGATCTTGCCTGCTATAGATGTGGATGAAACATCAAAAGAGAATGCTTCTGGTACATTTATTTATTTATTTATTTATTTAGGGCTTTAAAAATTTTAATTGCCTTGAACAGGCAGGATTATTTTTAATATATATATGTGTTATGGCGACAATTTTTATGTTTATATTTCGTTTGTTAATCTTATGGTTATGTTGTTTTTACTCTGTATGTTTTGTGATATTACTTGTCCCCTCAGGGAGATTGAGTGGTATATAAATAAAGTTATTATTATTATTATTATTATTATTATTATTATTATTATTATTATATCCCATCCTTTCTCAACTTCCGCAGAGGGACTCAGGACGGCTAACAAAGTGGTAACCCATGGCGCCCACATCAAAACATTAATATACAATTAACAACAATGTAATAATAACAATATAAAACAGTATAAATAGTATAAAACCATATAAACAATATAAAAACAGACAACTAATATTCACTGGTCACCGATTTAAATCATTATCCAAGGACATGGCCATACAGCTTGGAAAACTCACAGCGACCCAGTGATTCTGACCATGAAAGCCTTTGACAACACTTTATTAAATGTTTCTAAGACATTGTAGTGATGTCCGCATCTATATATATAAATCTGTTAGGTTGGTTCAACGGACAGCAAAACTCCACAACCCCCCAACGAAACTTAACCAAAATTCCCATGCCCATAACACAACCCACAAGGTACAAACATATCTACTCAAAATGAAAAACAACACAACAACACACTCACAAAACGGCAAAACAACAAAACTCAAAAAAACCCCCAATGAAACTTAACCAAAATTCCCATGCCCATAACACAATCCACAAGGTACAAACATATCTACTCAAAATGAAAAACAACACAACAACACACTCACAAAACGGCAAAACAACAAAACTCAAAAAATCCCCCAACGAAACTTAACCAAAATTCCCATGCCCATAACACAACCCACAAGGTACAAACATATCTACTCAAAATGAAAAACAACACAACAACACACTCACAAAACGGCAAAACAACAAAACTCAAAAAAACCCAACGAAACTTAACCAAAATTCCCATGCCCATAACACAACCCACAAGGTACAAACATATCTACTCAAAATAAAAAACAACACAACAACACACTCACAAAACGGCAAAACAACAAAGGGGGAAGATGTAGAGAAAGAGGGAGGGAAGGAAAGAAGGAAAGAAAAAGGGGGAAGGAAGGAAGGAGAGAAAGAAAAAAGGGAATGAAGGAAGGAAAGAGGGAGTGAAGGAAGGGGGAAGATGTAGAGAAAGAGGGAGGGAAGGAAAGAAGGAAAGAGAGAAGGAAGAAAAGAGACCAGAAGAGAAAGAAAAAGGGGGAAGGAAGGAAAGAGATAGAGAAGGAAGAGGAGAAGGAAAGATGGGAGGGAAAGAAGGAAGGAAGGAGGGAAAGAAGGAGAGAAAGAGGGAAGGTTGGCCACAGCAACACGTGGCGGGTAAAGGTTGTTATTTCTATTATTATTATTATGCTATTATTCCTATTAGACCCGGGGGGAATGGGAGAGGTGTCAGGTCCCAGAGGCAATGCATTGCATTATTGTTATTGTTATGATGGTGGTGAAATAAAAGGAAATAAAAAGAAAGAAGGAAGCAAACAGGGAGGGAAGAAAGGCAAAGGAAGAAAGGGGGAGGGAATGAAGGAAAGAGAGAAGGATGAAACCAAGTAGTGAAAGAAGGAAAGAAAGAAAGAGGTAGAGAAGGAAGAAAGGAGAGAAAGGGGGAAGGAATAGGTAGGTACCTCTCTTTCATAATAGTCCAGATATCTACCTCAACTTTGATAAGTTTTACTATAGGCCACAGCAACGTGTGGCAGGGCACTGCTAGTTTTATATAAATTGTGAGGACTGTAATGACCCTTAGGTATATCTGTGCACTAAAAATATGACAGCGACCAAGAAGGCATTTATTATATTTGGAACATACACCTTTTCTTGCCACAGCTTCAGTCGTCTGTCGAATAGGCTGCGCTCAGGGATTTAATCCTTAATCCAGTTGTTCCCTTTTTGCAGTGGTGGCTGGACAACATGGAAGCCCCTCTGGATGTGTGGCTATGGACTTTCTGGCAGTACTGTTGGAATTATTGGACTGGGGAGAATAGGTAATCCATGTTTTATACTTTTGTTTTTAACACATGCTTTCCATTCAGGAATTCACAACAAAACTAATGGAAATCTACCCAGCAAAGTTCACATGTAGGTACAAATCCATTGTATCACTCCCAGTTTAAGTATGGAATTAGAAAGCCCTTGATATTTTATTTTTTATTTTTGTGGTCTTTGTACACATATATTGATTAATGCTGGTGCTTCTCTGTCTTACAGAGGCACTGTTGGCTAACGATAAGATACCCTAAGTTTTGTCTCTCTCTCTGTTCCTAGGCCATGCTGTCGCACGTCGCCTGAAACCTTTTGGAGTTACAAAGTTTTTGTATACAGGACGTCATCCCAGACCTGAAGCTGCTGCTGAACTGAATGCAGAGTTTGGTGAGAATCCTATCTTTATTTTTATTACAGGTGTTAACCTCCTAAATGTTGGAACACCACATTTTTCTATTTATTTATTTATTTACAACATTTATATGCCGCCCTTTTCACCCAGAAGGGGACTCAGAGCGGCTTACAAGTAAATACAATATATTATATTAGTATTACTAGCTGTCCCCTGCCCAGTCTGGTGATCTGGAAAATAAAGTAATGGTTTCTAATATATGTAATTTCTTTATGCTTGTGGGTAAACAGTATTTCTTGCTGTTTCTTTGTCAGTGTTGATGTGGAGAGTGTCTGGTTTGCCTACTCTGGAACATGCAACATATCATTGTCCTTCTTTAGGGGTCCCTTTCAAATCTATGATACTATATCTCTCTGTGTGTGAATCATATCTATCTATCTATCTATCTATCTATCTATCTATCTATCTATCTATTAGGGATGGCTCTTTGTCAGGAGGACTTTGATTACATTTTCTTGCCCTGGTGAAGGGAGTTGGACTGGATGGCCTTAAGTATTTTCTGTTGGTCATGGGGGTTCTGTGTGGGAAATTTGCCCAATTCTGTCATTTGTGGGGTTCAGAATGCTCTTTGATTGTAGGTGAACTATAAATCCCAGTAACTACAACTCCCAAATGTCAATGTCTATTTCCCCCAAACTTCATATTTGGGCATATGGAATATTTGGTTCAGATCCATCATTGTTTGAGTCCACAGTGGTCTCTGGATGTAGGTGAACTACAACACCCAAACTCAAGGTCAATGCCCACCAAACCCTTCTAGTGTTTTCTGTTGCTCATGGGAGTCTTGTGTGTCACCTTTGGTTCAATTACATCATTGGTGGAGTTCTTTGATTGTAGGTGAACTATAAATGCCAAGAACTACAACCCCAAAAGGACAAAATCAAAAAATTTTGAGTGAAGGACATACATTGGGTTGTTAGGTGTGTGCTGTCCAAAATTGGTGTCAATTCGCTCACTGGTTTTTGAGTTCTGTTAACCCCACAAACAAATATTACATTTTTATTTATATAGATATATTACTATATTATACTATACCATTATACTGTAATATAATTAGTAATATTACATGTAATATAAAATATGTAATTCTAATACCATATTATTATTAGTAGTATATTGTATTACATTATAATATTATCAATATTATAGGCATATGCAATATATTATATTATATTATATTATATTATATTATATTATATTATATTATATTTCTAGTGCTTGTTTTGTACAGTCCAAACAGGAGAAAGCAGATGAAGACTGGTAGACGCCATAAGTTCTGTATCTCAAAAACTAGAGTGGATAGGGGCAAACTGGTGCCATTTTTGGAATCAGCAAGTCAAATATACCCAGAAACGGGGCTGACATTAGAGGCACCAAAATGTGTTTTGGCCAGTGTAATTACTTAAATAAATGAATCAGGCCAGAAATTCCCATCAGAATCATGCAAGAGGACCTAGAAATTCCAAGAGGTATTAGAAAAGAGTAGAAGCCAAGAGCCAAACATTATACAGAAATACAATGGGAGCAGATACACACAGAGGCTTAATGGTACCATGACTTTATGTGCTAATTGCAGGTAAAACATGCAAGTTTTAGCAGGTCAGGAAAAAAGATGACATGAATGGGATAGCCCTTGCGTTTTGGCATAGCCCAAAACACTGAACGCGCAGAAAGCGAAATATTTGAGATTCTTTCCAAAGCAGCATTGTTTGCCGTCTTCTAGACATTACTGATATTCCTGCTGTTAGTTACACACGAAAAGAAACTTGCCAACAGAAGATATTCTCACTTCACTGCACATCATTCACCTTATGGAGAAAGCCATACACAAGCATACATTATACTATATGACAAAATCCCCTCTTAGGTCCGTTTGTTGTGGTTCACGTGAGTGCCACGCAGGGGTTCAAGAAGTACCCACAGCCCGATCATGTGGACCCAAGCATGCCTGAGATCACTTCTCCATGACTATATCGGTAGTCTGCCCTTGCTGTCTTGAGCGGCAGGAAAAACGGGTGACAGTGAGTGAAAAGCAGAACCTCTCTGTCGCATGTTCCTCTTGCTGTCTCTTTTTCAAGTACCACTTGCGAAGCTGGCAGAAGAATCGGACTTTGTCATTGTAACATGTTCCCTGACACCTGACACCCAAGGGATGTGCAATCGGGACTTCTTTGGCAAGATGAAGAAGACATCTGTGTTCATCAACACAAGCAGGTAAAACAGATAGAGCGGAATTTAAGAGTCAGGATCAGAATCAATATTTTCCTCTGTTTTACGGCATTTTTCAGTTTTTCATTTTTTAATTCACATTTTAGACCAGGCATGGGCAAACTTTGGCCCTCCAGGTGTTTTGGACTTCAACTCCCACAATTCCTAACAGCCAGTAGGCTGTTAGGAATTGTGGGAGTTGAAGTCGAAAACACCTGGAGGGCCAAAGTTTGCCCATGCCTGTTTTAGACCATTTTTCTGTTACTCCCAAACTGTTTTGAAACGAAGTAGTGAAAAAGTAGCAGAATACAATTAGATATTCCAACCAAAATAATCCTTGTAACATCAATGGTAATGAATTTAGGAAGGGGGGATGGCTTTGCAACAAGTTAGGGAATGGATTCCTTTTTTTTTTTTTTAACTTTCCAAGGTTTGTTCACAGCTGTTTCTACTCATAGTTTTAAGAAAGAGCATTTGCTGCATAACCTGGTCAACAAGAGAATAACAGATGATTAGCTCCTATTAAGTAGAAAAGTCACAACTTCTGAAGCCAAATAAACATTGGAGGGCATAAGGTTCCTCACCCCGTTTTAGGTTGCATCTTTTGTCTAAACCCAGATGCAAAAAATTCTCTCTCGGTGAAATAGGGGGAGTATATGTCTTGAGCCCCGGTGACACAGTAGGATAAACCACTGAGCTGCTGAACATGTTGACCAAAAGGTCACATGTTCGAATTCGGGGAGCGGTGTGAGCTCCTGTTGTTAGCTCCAGCTTCTGCCAACTTAGCAGTTTGAAAACATGCAAATATGAGTAGATCAATAGGTACCACTCCGATGGAAAGTTAACGGCGCTCCACGTAGTCATGCCGGCCACATGGCCTTGGAGGTGTCTACGGACAACACCAACTCTTCGGCTTAGAAATGGAGATAAACACCAACCCCCAGAGTCAGACATGACTGGACTTAATGTCAGGGGAAAACCTTTACCTTAACTATATACCTTGAATTCTTAATTCACTACAAGTTGAGTATCCCTTATCTGAAATGCTTGGGACCGGAAGTGTTTTGGATTCCAGATTTTTCCCCCTGGATTTCGGAATACCTGTACTTGCATATAAACATATAATGAGAGATCTTGGGGATGGAGTATAAACATGAAATTCTTTTATGTTTCATATACAACTCAACTACATAGCCTGCAGGTTATTTTACGGACAATCTATTCACTAATTGTGTGCATAAAACATAGCTTGTGTATATTGAACCATCAGAAAGTAAAAATATCACTTGCTCAGCCAACCAGGTGGACTATTTTGGGAGTATTCCAGATTCCAGATAAGAGATCCCCAATATGAATTTCTCAATTAATGAATTGTCCAGGTACCATGTAGTCAATGAAGCAGTGCACTAGAAATCCCTATTTATACATGTCTATTCTTCCAGACATGATCAGCACCACTGGATAGGGTCTCTCCATTTCATTTCAGCTCTTCATGGGTATGTCCCTAGAGGTGGATGCACAGTGACAAAGCTACCCTCTATGATGTCTTGTGGTCCTTCAGAAATCACAGAGGATGATAATATTCTTTTGCCTTGGGTTACAGGGACCTAACTTGATTGTTCCTCTGCTATCCCCACAAGGGGTGGTACAAGAGACAGTTTTGAGAAGGCTGGGAAATAGGTCAAATCCCTTTGCAGTGACTACAAAAAGACATATGTTGTCATTAACAGGGTAACAGCCATTGTATGATCTGAATATTGGGAGACCCAGCTATAGCATTTGCTTAAGGAATAAATTGCATGCTTGTGTTAACAATGCCAAGACAATCCAAGTGAACTTTTTTCCAGTTCTCGTCTAACCTGAAAAATTGGGTCTCGAATGTGTATGCACACTCTCTCCATCTTTAATTTTCTCACTTGGTCTTTGTAATAAGGGGTGCTGTGGTCAATCAAGATGACCTTTACGAAGCTTTAGTCAATGGCCACATTGCAGCAGCTGGTCTAGATGTTACAACCCCAGAACCCTTGCCAACGAATAATCCACTTCTTTCTCTCAAGAACTGTGGTAAGTTGAGCTAATGTGAATTTGTGATAGGGAATTGATGGCTGCTATTCAAAGAAAGCATGTGCTGCTTATTCACTTCTCTTACACTGAATTACCAAGGCACAGCTGGTGGAGGTTTGTGGTTGTTAGACAGAGGGAAACAAGGATTTAAGGGCTAGGAATATATCAGCATCCTCATACTGTAGCTAGACTGGCAAGTATTGCATCAGTCTCCTGGAACAAGGGCGCTTCAGTCTTTGGATGTCAGTATAACAAAGGATTGCCCTGAAGACAGATTACGCTGGAAACGAGTTTTGCCTGAGCAAGTACCTTCCTCTGACAATGACTAGCTTGTGAAGTCAGTATAACCGTTGAGTAATAGTGGAACTGGTGTCCAGAATATTGTTGATTTGCCCTTTAAGATTGTCTCTGTGTCTCTGGTGTCTTATACAGTCATTTTGCCACATATCGGAAGTGCCACCTATGCTACAAGGAACACTATGTCAGTGTTGGCTGCCAACAATCTTCTGGCTGGCTTGAGAGGAGAGAGCATGCCAAGTGAACTCAAGCTGTGAGATACAATGCAAGATTGTGGATTTTCACTTTTTGCCCCCGCTGGTGTTTAAATAAAACATAATCTTCCCAACCAATCTTCTGATGTCATAGCAAATGGTTCCATTTCATAATTTTAAGAATCAATTTCCAAACATTGCAAGAAACAATAAATATCCCAGGTTGTGTTATTTACATGGGAAGTGCACCTATATCTGTTAAAAGCACATGCATAAGACATAAAACTTAATTTTTGGTTTCCTTTCCTCTAACTCAGGCATGGCAAACTTTGGACCTCCAGGTGTTTTGGACTACTACTCCCACAATTCCTATTTGTGGGAGTTGAAATCCAAAACACCTGTAGGGCCAAAGTTTGCCCATGCCCTCTCTGATATTCAAAAAGGGGTTTTTTTAAAAAAAAATATAGCCAGTGATCTCTTATTATGTTGGCTGACATACAACAGGTGTAAGTTAGCTATATGATCACAATTTTGGGGGTAGTTTGGAATGGTATATCCTGCAGATAATTGTGAAAGCACAGTTGTGCATGTGAGATTATTCCACGTGTAGCAATGCAAGTAGCATATGAATGAGCATTGCAAGTATACACATACGCTGTGGCTGTTGATCTACCTAAACTGCATTAAGGAGGTATTCCTATCTCAGGGTTTCTTAAAAGTTTTGCCAATCATGACCCATTTCCACCTGAGAAAGTTTTACATAACCCTGGATATTTAAGTACATAAAATAGATACAAAATCAAATATTTACTGAAAATAATCCAGCATTTGCAAGGCTTGCTAAACAGGCAGATTTTCCTTTTTGTGGAGTAAAGCTGAAGCAGTTTCTTGAAGAGCACTACATATTGTTGGTAACATATTCGTATAAATGGGTGGTTTTTCAGAAACCATTTTAACGTTGCCAAATATTTCATGACCCCCCACCTCGATCTAAGAGTTGGGATTAGTACCCACAGTTCAAGCAGCAGTTTCATATTGGACATAATGTAATTCCACCACTAAATATTTACAGTATACTGAAGCAATGTGGTATTTTGGTCTATGTACATTAAAGGTAAGATTATAACAGATCTACTCCATCAGCATAAAAACATCCTGTTCCCCACTGTTCACTGATGCATGATGGGGGTGAAATAAAGTCTGCAATGGCTAAAGTAGTTCTGACCCTTTCAACTCACTGGACTACATGATGCAGCTTCTTCTGTTCCTACGAGAGCCATATTTTCCTTCTCCATATTTGATTGCAATGCTCAGGAACACATTGCATTGACAACACAACAGCTCAAATAATTAATGTTTCAGGGCTTCACAGCAAATATCATTTTATGGCTTTCCAATCTTCTAAGGCCCATGAACACAATTGGAATTTGGGGCACTGCTTTAGCTCTACCTTTGTCTATGGGATTTGAACAAAAGTGGTATAGTAAAGTGGATCTCTCAAGTAATTGATGGGGTGTACAGAGGCAATTTTTAGAGCTTTCGCAGCTTGCAGTTAATTTCTGCACCCTGAAAATCTTTGGCTAGATCAGAGGATTTTTCTGCCTGTATCTTGTCCCTGTCGGCTTCCTTCTTCTCTCTTTGCCCTATCTTTTCTTTCTCCTGACCGAGGCATTCAAAATATTCTGAGACGGTAAACTTTGCTTCAGAGCACAAACATCTCAACACCTTTAAATTACAAACAATATTAAATACAGGAGTAGGTGAGGGTGAGCTTTTTTTTTAAAGTTATGAATAAAGCAATAATTTACTCAGCAGACATTCCCAGGTACGTGGGGGAGAAAAGACATACTTTTATAAGATTGTATCGAAACCAGAATATGAAAACTGATTTCTATAGTTTAATATGTTAAATGTTAGAAATATAAAAATGCACATTTCAAGCAAAAAGGAAATCTCAAAATAATATCTGCACAAAAAACACTTAGGTGACACTGAACAGCAGTGACTGACAAGGTTGCCTTCAAATGCAAAAGAAAACATACCAGAAATGCTTGTTGAAATAACAACAGTAGACGAATCATTTAAGACTTAATGTTGAATTTTAACATGAAATACAAATTGATTAGAAACACTACCAAGCATAACACATAAACACACAACACTTTTCAGTACAAGATATTACAAAAAGAAAACTATAAAACATCTAGGAGATTTTGCTGTATTCAAAAGTATATACACACACCTACATATATCAGACAGTCTAAAAGTTACTTGCATTGGACTCAAGGTAAGCACCTTCATTACACAGTGTATGTTACTGCAAAACAACCAAAAATACATTCAGAATCCCTAAAACTATGTTAATCTATAACACACTTCAAAAGCACTTTGAGGTGCAAAGGTGGTTTTATCTTCAAGATATGCAGTCTTTTACAATAAAGAGGTCTTGGTTACATTATTCACACACTCCATATAGCAACCTACTTTACAATAAATGCTTTCACATCATTTTTTAAAAAATCAAAAAGTTTGCACTTCAATTCATACTTGCAATGTGCTAGTTAATTATGTGTTAGCTGCATAATTAGCTTTTCTTTCAGCCCTTCTCCTACTCACAGAGAACTAATGATAGGACTGTATTCATATATGATATCCAAAGCCCACCCCGGGTATATTTTTCTTGTAAGTAAATCTCCCAGAACTCAACCAAGCTTACTCCCAAGTGTGCCAGGGGCTGCAGTCTTAGTACTACTTTTGTGACAGAGTTGGAGAATTCCAAAGCGCTTCTGAAAAAGTTGTTTAAGCCTCACAACACCCCTGTGAGGTAGGTATGGTACAGGTATTGAAAAGAACTAAGCCTTTGTTTTAATGTGTGTGGCACAGTCACACTGTAAGTGTTCACCCTTTGAGCTCCATGCCTTATTAAAACCTATTGGCATTGCAGGAGGGAGGGTAATAGTTAAAGCAAAGTGCTGGGTAGATTGTTGCTCTGCCAGCGCAGGCAAGTCGTTTTGGAATGTTTATATAAATGGCTGGACTGGCTAAACCTCTTGCCACACTTCAGGCAGGCGTAGGGCTTCTCTCCCGTATGCACCCGGATGTGCTTCTTGCAGTCTGTTAAGGTCAAAAAGGTCTTGCAGCAGATTTTGCAGGCATACTTGCGAGCACCTTCTACCACCAGGACATTATGTTCCGATAAGGCCTTCTTACATTTTGAAAGAACATCAGCAGATGCCCTGGTTAGCTGTGGGGGCCCAGGCTGGGAGGAGTGCCCATTCTCAAAAGAGGATGAGCCCCCATTCATTAGTAGCTGAGAATTAGGAGTGTTGTCTGGCATTTGAGAACTCCGAACAGAGGTCACAACGGGCATTTTGGGAGCTATGCGGCGATACCCAGGAAAGTTACTGGTACCACCTCTCGAGCTCATGACTGCCCTTGACAAGGAATGCAGCCCTAAGCCAGACCTTGGGAAGTCCATCCCAAACTGCTCTGCTGCCCGGTAGCCAGACGTCTGTACACAAGGAAGACCCATAACATCTTGCATAGGCCTGGCAAAATGAGAGTCTGCACTCTCACTGAAGGGATTCTCAACATGTGAGACAGTAGCAGAAGAATGTCCATTTGTTGGCCCAGAATCTGGACCAATTAAGTAAGAGGCATCACCATCAATGCGGCAGTCACTAGTTGTATTTGGAATATTGTCTTCGTTATTCTGGCTAGCAACATAACTGCTGGCTCTGCTTTTATTCAGAAAATTGGAAATACTGAATGAAGACTTATGTTCCAGATTATTTGCTACCTCCATAATATGGATCTCCCCCACTCGGTCAGTGCTAGACTGTGGGTCGGAGAAGCTACGGTCACTACTTTCAGGGCTCAGTTCTATCTTTTCAGCATTGACTCCTCCCCCTTCCACTTCCACAGATTCACTTCCCTCTGCTTGGGAGGTCACATCACTCACTTCGTCTTGGGGCTCTGGAGAACTCAAAGGCTCAGATTTCACCACTACCCTCATGTGCTCTTTTTCATTTAGTCCAACCTCTGTATTCTCACATTGAAAATTGTTTTTTTGGGAAACATTCTGCTGATCAAAGCTAGTTTCCGCTTGCGACACCAAAGACATTTGAGAAATATTGGCCCCGCTGTTGTCAGACTGGCTGGGCACTTGAGCATCTTCTTGCGCACTAAAGGACTGATCAAACATAATGGTATTATCCTCTTGGTTGTCGGTTACACCATCAGGTTTAGAGTTGTCCACAATTTTCAGTGAGTCTGGGGAAAAAAATTCATCTCTTGAATGAACAACAGCCTGTGCGCTCTCTGAAGTAACATCAGACATGATAGAATCATCCATGGTAGGCCTAATGCGCTGCCTAGCTCTCTCTTCTGAAGACTGTTTCCGTTTATGGAGACGTCGTATTGGAAATGTACTCCTCTGCTCTATGTTACTTCTGATGGAGCTCATAGAACTGGATTGTTCTTCTGTGCTTTGGGTGGAATTTAATGCAGAACTCACTATGCTTAATCCAAGCTGCTGGAGCATGAAGGACCGCTGCATGCGCGCATTCTGCTCTTGAACTCTATCGCTTGGAGGAGACATTGGCAGTGTCCTTGTGGTAAGGTAGTGCTTGCATGCTTTCACCACAGAGTTCAAGTGCAAATGGGAAGCTGCCAGCAACACATCCATAACGTTACTCTCTCCGAGCATCAGAGTGGAAGTGTACATCATGTCAATGAGAGCAGCAAAAGCTTCTGCCGTCACCACCTCACTGTCCAACTGGATCATGTTCATAGTCTGGTCTCCCTCTGCTACTGTGAAAAGAGCGCGGAAGTGTGTGCTGCATGCTGCCAAAACTGAACGGTGTGCTTTGAAGTGCCTGTTCCCAACAACAATAACACAGTCACAGAGTTGGCCGTGAAGTCGCTGGTAGTTCAACTGTTGGAAAATTTGTTCAAAGTGCCCTGGAAAATCCATGATCCTAAAAAGAAAGACAGAAAATATGATGTGAAAATAATGAAATGATTTGTTTTTATATGAACAAGTAAGAACACTTGAAAATGTCACAGAAGCTATTTGGCTATTTTGTTTAAGAACACCATCTGGATTTTTGCCTCTTGCAACTTGGTGCAATGGTCTTTGCACCACACAGCCCTTAATTTCTCCTGCTCTTTCACTTACATCCCATTCCATCAAATTTTCCATAACGGCTCAGAATTTATTAACATGATTCTAGATTCATTCTGAATTATCTCTAGTTAAAGTAGATGGTATAGATCAGGGGTCCTCAAACTTTTTAAACAGAGGGCCAGGTCACAATCCCTCAAACTGTTGGAGGGCCGGATTATAATTGAAAAAAAAAACATGAATGAATTCCTATGCACACTGCACATATCTTATTTGTAGTGCAAAAAAAAACACTTTAAAAACAATACAATAATTAAAATGAAGAACAATTTCAACAAATGTAAACTTATTAGCATTTCAATGGGAAGTGTGTGCCTGCTTTTGGTTGATGAGATACGATTGTTGTTGTTGTTGTGTGCTTTCAAGTCATTTCAGACTTAGGTTGACCCTGAACGAGGGCCGGGTAAATAACCTTGGGGGGCCGCATCTGGCCCCCGGGCCTTAGTTTGAGGACCCCTGGTATAGATGATGAACAATGCTGAACTAAACAGACAGAAGGTCAGATTCAGTTTAAGCAGTTTGACATATACAATTTTAGATTTCACAGTCATGCAGGGTTATGCAGAATTACTACTTCACTTAGTGTTCAGGATGAAAAACTGTGATAAAGCATGCACAGACACTTAAAACCAGTGATCTAGGATCCCATTTGCTTTTGTTCAGCTTTTCAAAAAATTGATGAGACAAGTTGAAAATCAGAAGTTTACAGAAACCCAGTCACCATGTCACAGTGAGCCATTAAAAAAGAAGTCACACGGCCTTAGCTTACTGTGACCAAACCAGCATGCTGGTGTATGCTGCCTGTTTCTTCCCACCAGGGAACTCCTGCCAGCAGCAGTAACTAAATAATTCTCCATCTGGGGTTTGTTTAGTGTGACATCCGAACCAAGAACTCCAGCTTGTTGCTCCCTTGAGAAGTGAGACTCAGAAGCCTTGAAGGAAATCACTCATGCTGCAGATCTGAACTGGTGACACAAAGACACATCCTCCTCCCAGCTCTGGTCATCTTCTCTTCTTTGCCACTTGACAAAGGGCATCCCACCAATTCACTACATCACTCCCCTCCCTCCACCACCTACATACTTCTCTCCCTTTGGTCTTTCCCGCAACCACATAAAAATAGACCAAGGAATTTGGATTTCCCACCTTTAGTATAAACCATCTAAAAGTCAAAACATATTAAATATGAAATAAGATAAAGAAGGCAATGATTAAGTTTCATTACAACATTCAAAGTATTTAACTACTGCATGTACAACAGAATCAATCTGGTCTCAAGAGCTCCTCAGAAATTATGATTATTTCTCAGGATTCCTCACCAAGTCTATCAAACAAAATTTATTCTGAACCATAAGTATTTTTTATTATCTATAAGGACAGCCGACATAATCTGAATTATTTTTTTCCTAAAATTAGGCTTCTATGCTTTTATGCATCTTTTTCTGTTAATCCATCTTTCCACCAATCTGTTTACACAAATATGATGGTTTTAGTTTAGAGTTTTTATGGCTTTGAACAACTGTAATGAAAAGAGTAAAACTGTTACATTTTCTTCTGACTGTCTTTTTAAAATGTATATCCCTTTCTTTTTTAGACAATAAAATATTGTTATTAATAATACATTTTACTTCTTGTCCATCTTTTCCCAAGGCTTGAGGCAGGGTATAAGACAGAACTAAGATATAAACAATACTTGAAAACATAAAACCATTGAAAACACATAGATTAAAAACAAATGAGCACAAAATTAAAATGCACATTAAATTATTCATACGTTTAAAATGTCAATTTAAAATTTATAGTTTAAAATCGACTGGGTAAGACCTGCTAGAAGAGAAGGGTCTTTACTTGTTTTTAAAATTCAGACAGCATGTTTAGCTGTCTAATATCTTCTGGCAAGTCATTCCAAAATCTAGGGGTAGCAGACAAAAAGGTACTGTCGGTGACAGTAGCCTTTAAACCAGTCTTCTCCAACCTGGGCATCTCCAGGCATGTTAGGCCACATCTCCCATCATCTCCAATGAATGAGAGTTGCAGTCTTCACATTGGGGCACTATTGTAATATCGCTGCTTAACTCTGGTTGTTCATTACTGTTACTACCATATATAACCATGTACAAGTTGAGGCTCATTCCACAACAAGGAGAAAGCATCAATGCCACCTCAGAGAGCAAACTACCTTTTGCAGCTGCTATTTCCCTGCCTAGACATCAAAAACAGGCAGAAATGCTACCATAACGGAGAGAGTAGAGAGGATCAGTGCTTCTTTTAAGTTATCCCAGGACTAAGCTCTTCTTGCCTTTTGCCACCCTGCTCAGAGAAAAGCAATGGTTCCATTTTTTATAAGAATTATGGTACAGTTGTCACAATGATCCATGGCTAAGTTGAACCAGTTTTTCTGGTTTGATTTTTTAAAACTAAAACTTCTAGATTTATATACGAGTATATAAGGTAGTTCTACAAGAGTAGGTACCAAGAGGGCCAAGGCTGGGCACCACAGCTCTCTTACTCTAGCACACTACAATATATCTTGTTATGTTCCACCAAGTTGGTACTTTGGGGCCCACAGATGGGTTCCATCCTATAGTTTTTGTTTTGAAAGGGGGAGAAGGAAAAGTGACCTGCAATGGACAACAGGATTTTATTTTTAACAGCTGTGTAGATGATGTTGTGAAGGGTGGGCTTCTGCTGCATGACAATTGCCACTTGTAAAGGTTTTCTCTCCCAACTGTTAAAAGACTAAAGTCCTTTCAATGCCAAAAGAAGATTAGTGTGCCAAATTATCAAAATGCACTGAAAATCCAGTCTGGGTGTTATACAAAACTAATTAATGAGATGAAAGTGGGCTATGAAATCCACGCATGTGTGTGCGCATTTGCGTATCTTTCAGTCTGTCTGTGCAAACTGGGTGTTTGTTAATTAATTTTTTCCAAATTCTACAGATAATATTATCAAGTAAAATAAAGAGTGATCACAGAACACTGTATTCCCGTTGCTAATTCCCTGCATGCTAAGTAGTAGGCATAAGTAAAAAACCAAGGGGAATAGACTCAAAAGGAAAAAAAGCATAAATACATTGCTGTATTTTGTCTTGAGCTAATAATTACCTCACAATTTAGAGGAATTGGTGTACTGTTTGCAGAGCATGTAAATGCTGTTGCCTTTTACCATCTAAACCCATTACTGTCACCCTTAAAATATTGTAGGTGGCAACTCTTTTGTTGCTGGCAGGGTCCTTGGGAAGTTTCAGGTCTTTCCCCTCCAGTGGCAGAGAAAGGGGTCTCACCATTAAGCAAATTTAATTTTCTTCCACAGAAACTTGTATGGCCCTTGTCTCTATGACAGCAAATAAAATGAAAAGGAAAAAGGAAAGAAAAGGGAAAAAAGAGGGGGGTTGAAAGTGGGGAGAACAATGAGACTGGATTATTATTTTTTTTACTTCTCCTATATGCCTCCCAGAATCATAAGAAGACTGTGCCAGCCCTCAAAGATGGCTGCAACTTCCTCCAAATACAACCAATGGGTGGGTAGAGGGGGATCTCTCCCCCTTTTATCACAATTCTGGCAGGACTTTAAATAAGGCAGCTTTTAGGTCTCCTCATCTTCTTTCACCCATAGGATTATTCCACAAGTGTCAGATTTTTGTCCAATAGCCCAGGAAGCTTGCCAAAAACTTCACCAATTTGACTGTCCAAAGATTTTTTTTCAGAAAAGCTTTTGCAGTAACGTATTTTGTAATTAACCATGGCAATAGGCCACAAACAGCTACTCATGAAGAATGAAAATATATAAATTTCTAATCCGTAATCATTACGGAAGTAATCCTAACATAGGTAAATAGAACTAAATTTTATTCATACCATGAAAAATATTTCTCATCCATTTTTGTTTTGGGTGTCATTTACAGATGTTTATATTATAGAGCAACCTTCAATTAAATGCTGGAACAAATCAAATCTAAAAACACCCAATATTACTTTAATTTATAATGACAGGAAGATGACAAGATTGTCAATTAAGCTGAAAAATACTTATATGTCAGTAGGCAGCAAAACAGTGGGGACAGGGACAGTGGGAGGTGATGACTGCCTGGCATTGCCTCTGTAGACCAATATATTTCTCCTGTTGGTTTGGACAACTGCCACCCAGTTGCCTCCAAGAATTACTTCTTGATAGCACAAATGCTATATTTCCTGGGCCATCTACAGATATGTTACATTTTCATGGAAAATGGATAAGCTCCCATGTTTATTTAATTTATTGGGGGATGGGGAAGCATCATTTTGAACTACAAAGCAGATATCCTTAAGAGTCCTACAACAGCTACAACAGCAATACCTACAACAGCTATCCACTTGAATTTTATGTACAATGCACAAGATAACCTGGGATCAATCCCCAGAAATTTCAGAAAGATTCACACATCTACAGATTTTTGGAGATGTTTAAAATTTTAGACAAAAACAATTTATCCCCCCCCCCCCCAAAACGACAATAGCAGGTCTCTTGAATGTCTGTCTTCATGATACACAACCACAAAACTTCAATTTAGCACAGATTTGTACTATTACTTATTTACTTTAGACCTCTTTGCAGATCAATAATTTTATTTATTATTATTAGACTGACTCTAAACGGCTGCCTGCTGCGGTGCCTTTGTTCATGGCGATCAAACCAAAGAAAAACAGGATTGCTTTTTAAAACACTTTATGTTCTCTTGGCATCACCAAAGTTGCTTAATGCTTACGCTTATACTTACTTTAGTCCTTTTTACAGATTTAATAACTGTATTTA